ATTCGATTTTGCTGAGGATATTTTGATATCGCAAACTGATGCCCCAACTCAAGCAAACAGAAAAGAATGGCTGCGTCTTATTCATTGGCCACCCTAAAGAGGTCTGTAACAATGTTATTCACTATGGGTATAAATAGAGCTTTACTCATTGCTTTCATTGGGTAGAAATAACGACCACCAGTGCCATCTTGCATCAGCAAATATGTGCCGGTTTGGATGTATTTATATCATTCACAAGATATTTGCAATCTTAACACTCTTTTAGCTTAGAAATTTGTAAGGTAATAACTTATCACTTGCATGCAATTTATAGGCTGTTTCAGGGTTTCGATCAAAATAAAAGTACTTTCTTCTCTTCTTAGTCAAAGGCCACATGTCGGCTAAACTGATCCTTTATGATAATGAATTTTGTCGTGGAATGTCAAGAACAGATGGTTAGGCAAAGATTACAGTTTTTATTTTTACTGAATTTTGGCTTATACAGAAATAGCTATTTTAGTCTTATTTTATTTTCTCCATTAAATTAATTCTTGTAAACTATAAAATAACATTGCACAACTGATTGCATGCATTATGGTAAGTTTACTCGAAATCGCGCGATCTCATCAAAATCACTAATCCGCTCGTCTCCTCTAATCTTTGTGAGTTCAAATAAAAATGTCAGTGAAAAGTTTGGCACATCTTATGAGTCCTTATTTACCCATTTGGAGTAAATTGACTGCCCATTAGTCCTGCCTTGGCAAAACCATGCTACACATATCTACGGCCTATCTTCTCGGGCGGTTAGGAAAGTCCCAACGTTTTAGACATCTAAGCGTATCGAAAACTTGATACTGTAGACCAATCAGAAAGTGAAAGTTGTTTTAAGGGCTCCTGGTAATGATAGTAGATAAATTATGCAGTACCTTTCCTTATGTCGTAGGACTTACAGTTGTTTGTGATAAGTGAATGTGTATATGAATGAATGACCTTGCAAAAAGTACCATCAGAATTATGGCCAATCTTATGCGTTGTGAGATTTCCATATCGCCTTGATTGCCATAATCAGCTTCCGAGAAAACACTAATTAGCCTAAAAATGACAACTAAACATTAGAACGGTTATGAATTAATTTTGTAGAAATGCGGCCTGTCTTAGCTATTCGAGACCAAAAGTTACAGAAAAACAAGAAGTAGGAGTTAGTTAAATGCAGTACTAATTTCCAAAAGCACTGTGGAAGCTCTTGGTCTTTCATAAACGATAAAAGGGAACTTATTTTCCTTCCCTATGGCATAAAGCATGATATTAGTATTATCAACGGCCTTCCTGTCCTTCAAAGAACACCACTTAACCGACGAAACACAGATGAACACAGATTCGTTCTTCTATGGACAAAATTTTCTCTGAAAGGATTATAAAATTACAGCTTAAATTAGTGATTATGCAAATAAAAAAGGCGTTGCAAGAAGTATACAACAAATGTTTGATTTTATTAAAATATTACACCTACTTATTTGCTTGTCTAATACTTACTCCGATGCTGGTCATAGGGAATAACACTAGAGGTACTTCACCACCGCCCGGATCTCAGCAGACAATGCCATAGCAGTCCATCCACTTAATGTGCAACCCAACGACGACGCATTTTGAAAGAATTTATTTATCCAAGACAACGCTTTTACTCCGGATTGTGAAACGTAGATTTTCTACTTATGAGAGCTGAACGAGAAAGGACGGCGTCAAAACTGTCAGCAAATGTGATAAAATTTGACTGCCTCCTTTCGAAACTTATAATAATTCGTCCTAAAAATTTTGTCACCCCAAATAACAAGAGAAGCAGTTGACGAGAAAACACAAAATCTATGGCCCAAAAACATGTAGGGCTCGGAGTTCGAAAGTGTTACAACCGTTACAAGAAATCCTTTAAAATGTAACAGACAGGAATCTCTAAATCTGCTATATGTTAACGTGGCAAGTGATTGCAACGAAAAGAGAAGAGGACCCTTCATTTCTATCACAGCTGCACTTTACAATTGTATTACATGTGATTGTCTAGTGTCAAGAAAAGATGAGGTACGAGGCCTTGTATTGTCTTGTAAAACAGGACTTCCTTCTTGGCTTTTCTGAGGGTGACTTTTTTTACCACCCTTGTTCAGTGTCTCGAATAGATCCTTACCGTAGCCGTTTGGATTTTCGCAAAAAAGATCATGCTAAGCAATTCCGCCTGCATTCTACCAAACTTGAAACAGACTCGTCTTTTTCAGCTTTGAAATCAAGTTTAAATTCGTCAAGAGGACAAGGGCAAATTCATAACAGGTTTAATTGGAAATTAGTGGTGAGAAGTTCATAATGTGCAAAAGACAGACCAGAGAAAAGGGAGTACAGCACCGATAGATTGACACAAATGTGTGCTTTTTGTTATATGTATGTGCATGTGGGAATATAAATTACCCCACTCTTTTTATAGGTCCCCACAAGTTGTCGAACATCAGTGTGGTGGAGTGAATTGACACCCTAAACTGCTTTGTCGGCCTGACAGTTTACTCAGGTTTTCCACTTCTTCATTTTAACACCAACTTCGCGTTGATGTGATATTTGGTAATAAATGCGGTATTTAAAAGGAGAAAAGACAAAAACGTGGGGTAAAAGACAGGGAAAATGTTTTGCGACTAAAAAATTGCTTTGGATGTTCCAACATATAGCCATGCACTTGCATATTTCTTTTTCGTATCTTTTCTAAAATGAATTTTTTGATACCCTTATCCTACTTGTAAGTTTGCACTGATTTTGCAAGCGAAATCAGATTGCAGCAAAAGCTTTCACATTGCCACCCATTTATTTTGCAGAGTGGAAATACGTTTGATTGGCATTGTTCCATCTGGACACTACAAACTACCATCCGTCTTTTAATGTTGTATTTTTACAAGTCTTAAATATTCAACTTGCAATCGAGTATACTCAAATCTACTTAAATTAATGCCCACCTGTTGTTCTAGGGACGTATTATTATCATTTCTAAATCTTTCACTTTCACCAAGTCTTGATTGATTGCTAAAAGGAAGAGAAGTGGCAACTTTATTACCTGCATTTCCTTTGCCTTAATTACCAAGCAAAAGGTTGTTGCTCAAAACATAAACGGAGCCAGGGCACACTAATTCCTTTCTGTCATCGCAACATCTCCACTTCGATTGCCATAACGATATCCGTTTATTTATGCAGAAGGCACCACGAACTTGTTGACGAATGGAAGCTCACTTCATTCCCTCCATAGCTTACTATTTTTCAATGGGTTATATCCAACCGGTTCGGGAGTAACTGCTTCCATTCCACATTTTCTTATAGCATGGTGAATAGGTAGATGAATGGATGGGTGGATTACCAAATGCTCACTTTAATCAAAATATGTGGAGACCCACTGATATACCTCCGTTATTCCGTGGTTCTTGAATCATTATTTCCGCGATACCCTCTAAAATTTCTAAAAAGCTGTTTAGTGTAATAGTCTATCAATATTGCATTTTACAAACTATTTAGGAACACTCTCAGTGCTCTACATACTCTGTGGTATTTTGGAAGTGTTTTTGTTTCGCACATTAATTAATAAAGTAATACGCACCTTAAAATCAACATAATATCTCTGTAACCTCAAGTGTTGCGTTGGAGCAAGTACACTTCCCTTGCGTTAATGAAAAGAGTTTTCACATTCCAGAAAATTTGGTAATAGGAGGTGTTCCCGTTAAAACTTCCTAAAATTCCTCTTTGTTACAATGTGGTCAAGATAGGCGCTTCCTCAATTTAACTCACACTCAAATGTTGGTGTGCAGTGCCAATAAAAAGTTCCCTTCATAAAATTTTATTCGATTAGAATTTTATAATATTTATATTCGTGCTTATGCGGCACATGCTCAAGTCACATCTGCCCCTTTAATTCCATAGCATTAAACAAGGATGCTG